CTTTCCTCTTGGAAGAAATAATCCAAGAAAGGTCAGTTCCAAAACAACCAAAAATTATTCCAATCCATGTAGCTGTAGTCCTACCTCGTGCCTCAGCTATGCATCCCTTATTTCTTCACTCCTTCATACTCACTCACTTGACTTGATCTTAAAACTACCTAGTTAAAAGAAGAGATACATACAACTAACTGCTTTTATTCTGGTGATAAATCTTGATCAGATAGTTCCTTCAACCAGTTCTTTTATGATATTTTATTGGGAGTGTTGTAAGAGAGGAATAACTTCTGCTATTTTCCTCGGAGCCACAAAGACCTTAGTTGGAGTAACATGTAATTTTCTCTAAAGTGTTGTGTCCACAATATGGATACAAACTGGATGGAGTACAAAAGGAGACCAACAATAATGCTGTGTGGTTTACATCACATTTAGAAACAGCTTAGAAAATGTATGAGGAAGGACACAACAGCCAAGAAAACAAAACCGTGACAGCAAGGGGCTGGGGGGGCAAAAACCAGGATAGGGGTAAAAAAAAAAAAAAAAAAAAAAAAACAAACAAACAAAAAAAAAAACTACTTTCCCATTGAAAGAACAACTACAACAATGAGAGAAATGAGAGAATACCACACCTGCATGCTTACAACATGAAGGATCACAAGCTTTCTTGCAAACCACACTATTCGGACAGACTGAAAAGCAGTAGTAGTCATCCTACATGTGAACCAGCAGTAAGTGAGAGCTGATACTTCACCAGTGGGTTCAGAAATACCTCCCCCATCATCACCCCCTACAGAAGAGAACCGAAATCTTAGTTCAAGCTCAGGTGGACTCAGCCTCATCTATTCTTTCTTCCAGACCATTTTCTGAATTTAGACATTTACCATTTTCACTTACTATTTTTTTCTTTCCAGTACCCACCTCAAGCTGTTTGCTTAGCCAGTCTTAGTGTCCCCCTCTTAAACCACACATTATCTGCTGTTCTTTTTATTCCAGTTATTTCCAGTCTGATGCTGCAACACTGGCCTCGGTTCCAGTCTTTCTCCACTGTCTGTTTCCCATTCTCAAGTTAAGTCTCCAGCACTACTCAGTGCCTCATCCGCTTCTTCAGTTTCTTCAGCACAACTTTCCTACTTCAGGATCCTTGTCCTGAACTACTGCCCACGTACCAAATGTGCTTATCATCCACAACCATCCTTCTTTCGCAGCTCTGGGAAGCCAGCAGAAGTGGTATGGCAAAGCACTAGGAGAGTGTCTCTCTCCCTGTTCTCACTTCCAGAATCAAGAGAAAGCTGTAAGCAGGGCAGATGGATTCTTTGCATCATTTAGTTCTTAAACCTACACTACAAACCAAAACAAAACCAGAGATCTATTCTTCCCCAGCAGCTCTGTCCCAGGAAGCCCAGGTTACCAGCCCTGAGGCAGCTCTCCAGCAGAGGTCTCTTGAAATGCAGTTTTGAACTCAGAGGTGAACCAAAC